GGGCTCGACGCTAAGCAGCAGCTAGCTGTCTAGCTAGCTATCTCACGAGATGGCTGGATAGCTAGCCAGCTAGCTAGCCAGCTAGCTAGCCAGGTAGCCAGCTAGCTAGCCAGCTAGCTAGCCAGCCAGCTAGCTAGCCAGCGAGTGTTTTTGTTCGATTGGCTTCTCTTCAGAGAATCCCCAATGAGGCGCAGCAAGCGCTTAACTAGCAGCAAATAAAAACTTGCGAAGAATAAAAATTAAATTGACATACATAAACAAATAAATAAATAAATTGAAATGAACAAATTGAAATAAATAAATAAATAAATAAATAAAATAAATAGTTGGAATGAAAAGATGAATCAGTTGGGAGCAAAAATTATTTGAGGAGAGGAGAAAAGTATTGGAGACAAGGACAGTTACTTCCTTTGAATTTATTTTTATTTATAATTACTTGGTTAATTAATTAAAAATTAATTAATTTATTAATTAATTATATTATTCATTTATCTATTCATTTATTTGTTTATTTTTTTATTTGTTAAGTTATTACTTCCTTTTTGGCACTGGGTGAAAACGTGAAGTGAAAGGGCGGTGAAGTCCAGAAGGTGTCAAATGACAGGCAAAGAGATGAGAAATGGGAATAAATAAATGGAAAATAATAAATAAATGAAAAATAATGAAAAAATAAATAAAAATAAACGAAAATAAATGGAAAGTGGACAAATGAGACAAGAAGAAAAGATGAGACCAGCAGCAGCAGCAGCACCAGCAGCAGCAACAACTGTTTCGAGGACACGACCAGCGAGCCCTTTGTCTTTTAGATTATTTATTTTCGAATTTAAATTTAATTCTTTTTTATTTTTTAAATTCGTTTTATTTATTCGAGAGACAAAGCCTGGAGCTGCTCCGTCGCGAGCAGCAGTCCAGATCCTGCTGCTGCTGCTGCTGCTGCAGCAGAAGCAGCTCCAGCAGCAGCAGCGACAGCGGAGGATTAGTTTTTACTGCGCGTCTCACGGCTTCCTGGCACTGTCTGTACACCTGAAATAGCGGCTGCTGCTGCTGCTGCTGCGTCCGCTGCAGCAACGTGCTGCTCCCCGCGAGG